TATGTAAATAGGTAAACAACCAAAGATCTAGAACGTGTTTTTAGCGAATGGAATTTCTCCAATTTGCAATTGGGATCGTCAATTTGGAGTTTGGAATGACGAATTGAAGATTGGAAGGAAATTGATCGCCTACAGAAAAAACACAGTGATTGACTAATGACCCTAGGAATTCTAGTCTGATGTCTTCAACAATGGATTCAATTGATTTTATAATACACATTTCCATTATCATATATTCGTATTCCGCATATTCTACACTTCCTTCTGGTATTTTATTATGTGTATTCTACAATTCCTTCTAAGATTCTATTTTGTATATTCTACAATTCCTTTTGTACTTTTTTCTTTGCTAGTTGTTTTTGCAAGACAGTCAACAATCTAGAAGATATTGAAAAGAAAAAAAAAGCACCAGAGAACGTTGTTGATCTTGGTGAGGAGAATGAAGACCAAAGACCATCACGTGTATCAGGAAACCAAAGAAGTTAAGAGAATGATGCTAGTTGATCTTGGTGAGGAGAAAGGATACCAAAGACCAAAGCCCACCAGAGAACTTTGTGGCCTATATGATGAAAATTAGTAGCACCACCCTAGAATTACCAATGGTGAACTCTTGGAAAATTAGTGGTGCTCGTGGTGGAAGGGTCTTTGGAGATAGGAGGCAAAGTGGGAAGTAGTGCTATAGCATCATATAAACTATTAACATAAACATGCTTAGGTGATGCTAAAGTACTATTCACATTACTTAAATGAGCATTTCTATGTGTAGAATCACCTACGTCTATATCTTATGTTGCAAATGCAATGAGTACCTTTTATTTATATATATATATATATATATATATATATATATATATATATATATATATATATATATATATATATATATACTAGCAGGACACCCGCGCACAACGGCGGACGACGATTAGTTTTCTTTCATTGATTATTTTCTTTTCGAAAACATGTCATATTCAGAAAATATAAACACATAATAAATTGAAGGAAATGTGGAAATTTTAAGGATCAACGATATATATATATATATATATATATATATATATATATATATATATATATATATATATATATATATATATATATATATATATTGACATATTTGGATTGTAGACGTATAAAAACATCATATTGTCTAAAAATAAAGGAATAATATTTTAAAAAGTAAGAATAGGAAAAGCAAAAAAAATGATTGGGTAACAAAGTTAAACTACCATCCATATTTACGCAATTCTACACAATTCTAATGAAACGTACGTACCTTTTTAGGTTGTGTAAAAAAGCATGGGTTGAATTTCTAAAAATCATGGGTTAAATACAAGAAATGTCAACTTCTATTTGATGGCTTAATTATATGTAAATGTTATGACCATATACATATTGTCTTAAAATTAATGGGAGTGAGAAAATTAATTTAACTATGTTCAGATGCCTAGACATAGTTAAATATGCTAAACATTAGGTTGACATAAACCAGTTAATATCTCTTGAGCCCTGTTTGCCACAATTAATATATTATGATCAACCAAATATATGCTAAAATTCTAATATAAAAGTCTCATTAAGTAATTTTTTAAATTGTTCCATTTTGTCACATAGGATCGACATCATAAACTTAACATTTTTCAAGAAAGTTAATAAAAATCAACTGATTTTGCAGTGAAAGTGAAGGATCGTGCTAACTCTACCCATCTTTACTTCACTACACATATCTTGATAAAAAAATGCAGCGCCAATCAAGTGAAGGGCTACCATTGGATCTGAGGATTGTTCAATGATGTTTCCTAGCTTTAAAAGTCACCTGCACTTTTTTTTGTAGCTCGTTGATACAGTCTCTAAATCTCCTTTATTTGTGTAATTTGTGGTTATGGTTATCCAATGACCTTCCTTAAGTTGAAAGGATTTCTTGTCTTTTTTAAATCAACTTTTAATATCAGACCTAGAAGCCGAAAAACAATGCATTAGTTCCTCATTGACAAGTAAAATATGTTGACTTTTAAAGCAAATAGGATATTGATAACCATATAAAATAGTTTAGTCATTTAAATGCAAAAAGAGGCACAAAAACCTTAATGTGCAATTTAGAGAAAATAAAGAAAATGGTAAATAAACATTTTGAAGTTCATTCTAAAAGAATTGTTGGATCGTATCTCAAAAAAACATTTCAACTTATGATAATGCTTTCAAGAGTAAGTTACAAACATTAAATATTAGTTCCTATTGGGCAAATTATGAGAAATAAAAACATGATTTACTCTTTTTACCAATATAAACAATCTACTTTACTCTTTACTCATAATAACAAGATCTTTATATTCATTTACCGATAATGGAAACGTACTTACACTTCAAGCAGCATGTCGGTCATTCAAAATATCATCTCTAACAAGCTTATGTTGAAAATCAACATATACAAATCACCGATAGTCATTGCTTGCTCATTTTCACAAAATTCCATCTCCTACCACAGCAGTTGCAGACTGAAAAAAAAATTGAGATTCAAAATATGTGACCTTGAACCATTCTTGAAGGGTAAAACAATAATCACATTAATCTTCGAATCATGTTTATTTGTCTATTTTAATTTTTTTGAAATGAAAACAAACAAAAACTACATAAAAATAAACGAATTTTAAGAGTAACAACATAAATGATGATATACAAAACCACTATTTTTTAGGATGACATTTTTTTATATAAGGCTGTCGACCTTTCAGCCCACAAATGATGTCCATACTAAAAGCAAGATGGTGAGGTTACCCTACTCCCTAAAATGTCATGCATCAATCCTTTTTCTTTTCTAAAATACCTAGCATATGTAACCATAGGCTTCAATAAACATGCCATGTTTCTTATACCTAGAATATTAACTAAACTTAAATCTAATATTAAAATGGATTAAAAAGATACCTTTATAAAAATTACAAATACAATACACCTTTAATTACAATGGAGATTCCACAAAAAAATGGATAAAAAAGAAATTTTAATCAAAATTACAAATAAATTACACACCTTTCTTTTTATTTATATGTGACACAATCAGTTCACTGCAAAGATGGGGATTTCCATATAGAAGCTGAGAGCAATATGGATAATAACAATAACGCATACAATTTCATTTCATTATGCTCGAATTTAGGTTTAAAAATTAGTTGCACATTACTAAAACCAAAATTAACATTTGTCAAATTACAGTTATGCCCTTGACTCTTAAAAACATCATATGCCCCAAATTTGAAATTTGAAAAGATTTTTGAAAAAAATATATCAAACGTAAACTTACTTTTTGTTTGTCTCTGATTGAGGCGTCTCTAGGCCAAAAATATGTTGGTGTATAGATCTACAAAATCGACATACCCACCCAAATAAGTATAAGATTTAAAACATACAATGAACACAAAGTTAGCAAATTGTTATAAAGCTTGTAGAGGCAAACACCGACCGTAAACATCAAATTGAACCGCAACAAAATAAAACAATAAACCATAAAGCCCATAAAAACCGACCTGAGAAGAGCAATAGATAGGGAAAAGCGACTGCACAGAGAAATCATAAGGAGACGTACAAAAATTTAATGGAAAAGGAATTCAAAATAATTTTGAAAACTGAATCGTATGCGGTGCTGAACCAAGATTTAGGTTTTCAAATCGTTTCGAAAACTGAATTGATATAATTTGGCTCTATCCCATATACGATCAATGATAAGAGATATACCTGTCTACGATCCTAAAACAGAAAATAGTTGAATTTCTCTTTCTCCTTCTTGTTAGTCTTTGATGTTCGAAGTTCGATGTTGATTGGAGACTACTTTACAGCTTCTTATTAGGGGAGGAAGTGATGGAAATAAGGAAGATGGAAAACGGTGGTGGTTAGGGTTTAGAGAGATTGAGAAGAAACGATGATGAATTTGGAGAGAGGTTTATCTATAAGAGGAGAAAAAATCCCAAAAAACCAAATTAATACTTTATAGGTGAAGAATTTTAAAAACCATACATACAACAAAAACCAATTAGAAACAACATAACCAAAATTATTGTACAAAAACAAAATTAGAGGTTGTATCGATTATTGAAAATGAGAAAAATTACCAGGAACCAAGTTTGGATTTGACAGAACCCATAACTTTCCATTCTCGTTTTAAACATTTTGGAGCTTTTCTTGAATGACGAGAAAGGAATGCAATGGACAGTAGATGGTTCGATAGAGGTGGTGACGATGGATGTTTAAAACGATGATGATGGATAGCTGTAAGGGTTACCAAGTGGTCGTTAGCAGTTTGACCGCTATGAGTGGTGGTTGTTGGTGGCGACAATGAGCAGGAGTGATGGTTGGTGATGACGACAATGAGGAGGATTGGGGCTAGGGTTTTTAGAAGGGATATAAAAACCCTAGATCAAGAAAGCCTATGAATAGCGAAGATGATGAAGTAAAAACATATATCTTGAATTTATCAGAGATGAAGACGAAAGGGATGAGTGAGAATCGGAGTTTTCAAATTTGGGAATCATTTCCAAAGATAAAGGCGGAGGACCATGTAAAATAAAATAGAGATAGTAAAGAAAAAGATCCCCGTCAAAAAGTGAAATAACATCTTTAATGACTGGATTGGATACTTGTACTTATGTATTATTTATTTGTACACTTTCATCTAAATAGAACTGAGTTTAAAATTTAATATTATTTTATTGATGACTATTTGTACCATTAGCTTAATTATTTGAACTTCTTAAAAAATATTATTATTATATTGAATCTATTTATAGAAATAGTGAGATTTCTTTTATAAGATAGTAAATATATATATATATATATATATATATATATATATATATATATATATATATATATATATATATATATATATATATATATATATATATATATAAAGAGTTTGATGTTAGACATAAAAAAAACCGTATTTACTTCCTCAAAATATAAAATAAAACATACAGACAAGATGACGATTTTAACAAAATTACTATCAACGTAGGTCCAGCCCTGTGCAATCGTTATCTTCGAAAAATCTTTTATATTCGTTTTAGATAAAAAAAATTGGCCAGGTTCAAATGTTCAATACTTCAATCTATTATTGTGATTATCCGATGGAATGAGATGCTTTCTATTTTTAACTTTTTAATAAATTCGTCAAACTTTTGATTTCTACGCGATTCATGCCATTTGAGTTTTGAAACAGCTATATATATTTGAGTCTAAAACCTCAACGGAATCTTCTTAATAAAACTCTTCAGTCACCATAACAGCCGCCTCCGACCTCCATCGTTGCCACCAGTCCGATCGGAAACATGACGATGGAGGGTTTCCGGGTACTTGACGAGAAGTCGTTGAGAGAATACATCAAAGCCACACCATCTTTGGCTTCCAAGCTCGGGAATGAAGTTGATAACTTCAAAATTAAAGAAGTTGGGGACGGCAATCTCAATTTCGTCTACATCGTCATCTCTCCATCTGGTTCAATCGTCATAAAACAGGTTTTTCCCCCAATTAAGACTTCGAATCTTCATAATCATACAATTTTGTTAATAAAACGTCGTTTGTGTGCTTCGAGGGTTTAATCATCAATCACGAAGATCACTCATAACTTGATTTAAGTTGATTGAGTAATGATTTTACTATTATGAAAACGTTTTATTCTTCATCTTCTTCAATTCGCCCAACCATAATCTAGGTATTTCTTCATATCGACTTAACTTTCTTCCATATGGGCAGGCTATACCTTATGTTCGCTGTATCGGTGAATCATGGCCAATGACGAAGGAAAGATCTTATTTTGAAGCCACAGCTCTTAAACGTCAGCATGGTTTGTCCCCAAAACATGTCCCAGAAGTTTATCACTTTGATAGAACCATGTCACTTATTGGTATGCGATACATAGAGCCTCCACATATAATCTTGAGGAAAGGATTGATCGCTGGAGTTGAGTATCCATTATTAGCAGAACACATGGCTGAATTTATGGCTAACACCCTCTTTTACACCTCTCTTCTCTATCTCACAACTACACAACACAAAAGTGCAGGTGACCCTTTACTCCTGTTCATAAGAAGCATTATAAATCTCATTATATTGTTCATAATCATATGAAAATAACTCATGTGTTTACCACTTGCAGTGGCTGAATTTTGTGGAAATGTGGAGTTATGTAGGCTGACAGAGCAAGTGGTGTTTTCAGACCCTTACAAGATTTCAGAATTTAACCGTTGGACTTCACCTTATCTTGATACTGATGCAGAAGCAGTTAGAAATGACAAAATATTAAAACTTGAAGTTGCTGAGCTTAAGTCTAAGTATACAGACTCAATTACCTTTTTACCCTCTTGAATCTTGATGTTCTATTAGATTTCCCATTTAGGCATTTACATATGATAATGAATTTGTTCAGGTTCTGTGAAAAAACACAAGCTTTAATACATGGTGATCTCCATACGGGTTCTGTCATGGTTACCCATGAGTCAACTCAAGTCATTGACCCAGAATTTGCTTTCTATGGGCCAATGGGGTTTGACATTGGTGCTTTTATTGGAAACTTGTTTTTGGCTTATTTTTCACAAGATGGACATGTGGAACAAGGGAATGATCGAAAAGTATGTAGTTTTCATTTGATTTTGAATTAAGATTTTGGGTTTTAAAGTGGTAAATATTGTGAATGCAGACATATAAAACATGGATAATGGATACGATAGCAGACACTTGGAATCTTTTTTATAAAAAGTTTACATCTCTTTGGGATATACACAAAGAGGGACCTGGTGAAGCATACCTTCATGAAATTTATAATGATTTGGAGCTTCGAGAGCTTGTGAAACAGAAATACATGATGGATTTGTTCCATGATTCTCTTGGATTTGCTGCTGCCAAAATGATAAGGTAATGTAATAATGTTTGGGTTGTTTGACTGTTTGTGAAATGACTAAATTACCCTTTGAATTGCAGGCGAATTGTTGGGGTGGCTCATGTGGAGGATTTTGAGTCGATTAGTGATCTTGTGAAAAGATCAGATTGTGAACGAAGGGCTCTTGAATTTGCCAAAAATCTTATGAAGAAAAGAAGAAATTTCAACACCATTGCTGATGTCATTGCTGTAGCTAAGTAGTGAATGATAATACTTATTTTCTTGCCTTGTTTGCTTTGTGTAATCCACTAAATATAGGAAGGTAATGCATTGTTATAAAAATCTTGAAATTTACCTATTAAGATGTTATATTTTGATGGCTGACAATAGATGTGTAACGCCTGAGATTTTTTTTTTATAAACAATATCAGTTTTCGTACAAAAGAATGTCAAGAAAACTTTCTTCTCTTGAGCATGCTAGGTTTGTTTAACTTGAATTGTGAATTCAATCGTTAGTGAAATAGATTTCACAATTTGCAAGTGATTGCTATATAATTTGCAATTTGACTTTTAAGGCCTAACTTATCACATTATAAATTAATCTGAGATAAATTTTGACCAATTTAAAAATCAATATGTTCTGAAGTTCTATTTGTTATGATGTTTGATCTAGTTATCTAAAATTTCCAAATTTATAAATGATTCATATCAATATTGAAGTGCAACTATAATATGTATGACCATGAAATTCCAAATATATCATATGTTATAATTCAACTATAGCTATTATATATCCACCATTAACTATTATAGTAACTATTATAGTGATTGGTGTTACATCATCATTACATTCCCTACCACTAACTATGAGATTCCTACCATTAAACACACCACTCTACCTTATTTTTTTTTAATTAAATTTAAATAAAAAATACATAAAAAATCATATATATATTTTTTTAATTCTAGTTTTCATTAATTTAAAATACCAAATTACATTAATTAAAATACAAAAAAACATTAAAAAAAAAATACAACTTCAAACTACATTACTTAATTAACCTAGAATAAAAAAATAAAACATTACACTAACTTAAATAACCTAAATTTTATATATATATATATATATATATATATATATATATATATATATATATATATATATATATACACACACACACACACACACACACACACAAGTAAATAAATAAAAAATTCTAATATTCGATCATGTTGAATTGGTACAAATGATCCACGACATCTTCTCGAAAATTGAAACAGGGTTTCGATGTTATGAATTTCAACAACTCATGATAAAATTTCATTCGTTCCAGTTACGAACTCTTTAAGCGAGATGACGACAACATCCGGATCGTACGTGCAAATCGTTTGACTTTGATCTTCAATGATCATATTATGCATTATAATACATGTAGGACCATTCGTTTAATTCTATCATTATCCCAAAGTCGTGTAGCGTATTTCATTATATGTCATGTCGGCTTGAGGACTCCAAATGCCCTCTCGATATCCATCATCGCTGATTTTTGTCTCTTTGTGAACAACTTTGTCTTTTCACTTTGAGGAACCAAATATGCCTTCATAAGTGTAGAATAATCGGGTATATCCCATCACAAAGGTAGTAGCCGTATTTGTACGAATGTTCGTTCACCGAGAACGTCATATTAGGTGCTTTACCGGTCCAAAGATCGTTAAAAAGTGGAGACTGACCAAGAACGTTAATGTCGTTGTTAGACCCCGCGAATCCAAAAAAGAATGTCATATCCATTAATCCTGAGACGCGACACCTTCTAGGATTATACTTAGTTCACCCATATCTCCTCGAGTGAATTGACTACGCCATGTATTTGGACATTTTTCCCAAGTCACATGCGTACAATCTAGACTGTCAAGCATACCCGAAAATCTATGCCTCTGTTCATGAGCCGAATATAATCTCTCAATATCACGTGGAGTTGGTTTACGCAAATATTCTTGATGAAAAACCTCATACACACATGCTCAAAACCAATCTACATAATCAATTGCGGTCGTCTTGCATATTTTGAAGTATTCGTCAGATGCATTAAATGTTATACTGTATCTCAAATACTTAAGAGGGTGTTTGGGAATGCTTTACAAAACAACTTTTTGACTTCTACTTTTCAGAAAAGTCAAAAAAAAAAAATACAAAAGATGTTTGTCTAACTTAAAAAGTTCTTTTTAAACAATTTTTGAGTAAGAGGAAAAAAAGATTGATTTCAAAAGTCACAAAAACGTGACTTTTGAGACTTTTGGAACTTTTGTACTATTTAAAAGCAACTTTTGGAAAAAGACATTTTACAAAAAGTTATTTTATAAAAAGGATTTTTGAACAGAAAAAGTTATCTCAAACACTCCCTAAGAGCAACTGCACACTTTTGTATACTACTAAAACTCATTATTCCTGTAGCATCGGGTTTTGTTTGAAAAAATCATAATGGGCTTCTAAAACATTACTAATACGTAAAAATATCGCCTTATTTACATTGAAACGACGTTCAAATGCGTGATCATTGTAAAGACAATTATTGACGAAGTAATTACATACCAATAAATTATGTTCAGCTTAACGATCACGATTGACGACTGTCATTGTACGAACAACATTCAAACTTTCTTCATCATGAATGTTTTGCACAACATTGAAGAAGGTCGAAATAAATTACCCGTCATCATCCGAGTCAAAAACTTTTAATAATTCCAAATCGTCCATGTGTTTTTTGGTTTAGAATGAGAGTAAAATGTGAGGAATTTATTAGATTTATATAGGTATTAAGTTTCTGAGAAAAAAAAATTAAAACTTTTAATAAATTGACCGTTGTAAGATAAAAAGAAAGGAAAATCATTTGATTGGGCGTTTCATTTCGTCGTTAGGAACACGGACCATAACGATCGACCGGGTTAGTGTGCATGGTCATGGTCGTGGTCCACCTCAACCACGAGCCATCTCGTTGCACGTATACCGGAAGGCCTAAGGGTTCTTTTGAATGACATAGAACACACGTTAGAACACACGTTGGCGACAGATATGCCTTACAAATTGTTGTTGATATTATTCTCGGTTTCTCACCACCTCCTCACATCTACTATAAAGTATTATGTGAAAACTAAAAGGTGAGTTTGCCATGAACCATTTAGTGATTTTCTTGGCATTCACGTCCTCAACCAGGAACATGGGCTTGTTCTTTCCTCAAAGAAATATGCCATTGAACTTTTAGAGTGTGTCAAGATGAACAAGTGGAATAGTATGAAGATCCCACACTCAACTGCAGTCTCGTTTAGGTACTCCACTACCTTACTTTCACACGCCTACACATCGCGACTCTATCACAAGTATGTGTTTACATGCATGCCCATATGACACACACATGAGTACTCTTAAGCGTATCATCCACTAAGTACATTCGCAATATTAGTACCATATATCTATTCAACACTCTCTCGTTCAACATCAAAATCACATCGAAATCGATAAATGACACCCATTTTGTTCTTAAACAGGTAGCTAAAGGACACGCCGTTCCTCCTCCGCTATGACCGAGGGAATGCATTAGCCATATTAGAAATATATTACTATATTAGGATTATTATTAGATTTTGTATTTGAGAACTTCTAAAGGTTTTTTTATAAATTGGCAAAACAGGTACACAGTTTCTTTGCAAGTTACATTTATCCCCTTGTATAATTTCCAACCATGATTTACTTTTTAAACCTCCTATATATTGACATTTCAACCCATTTTTAGTCAATATCCGACAAAAATACGATTCAGAGAAAAAAGTTACAACATGAATGAAAACAAATACCGTCCAGGTTCAATGTATAATTATTTTTCCAAAGCCTGCGTGCCACGCAGACAATTTCTACTACTATTCTTCTTATATTCAGTTTCTATAATTTCTAACGCAGTTTCATGCCTTTTTGAAAAAAGAATTTCCAACCTCAACGGAGACCAATCGGAAGAAATGACGACGGCGGAGGGGTTCCGGGTACTGGACGAGAAGTCATTGAGGGAATACATCAAAGCCACGCCATCTTTGGCTTCGAAGCTGGGGACTCATCAACTTGATAACTTGGACATCAAAGAAGTTGGGGATGGCAATCTCAATTTCGTCTACATCATCATCTCTCCATCTGGTTCGCTTGTCATTAAACAGGTTTTTCCCCAATTAACACTTCCAATACATAATCTCATACGTGTTTGTAACTTCTAAGCTAAGGGGTATAGTCAATAGTCATCAAATCAGGAAGATCACTGGCTATTAACTTGATTTCTTCATCTGGAAATACTTATTGAAGTTGCTTTTGATCTTAGGCTGTGCCTTATATACGTTTAATCGGTGAATCATGGCCAATGGCCAAAGAAAGATCGTATTTTGAAGCCACAGCTCTTAAACGTCAGCATGATTTGTCCCCTGAACATGTCCCGGAAGTTTATCACTTTGATAGAACCATGTCATTGATTGGTATGCGATACATAGAGCCTCCACATATAATCTTGAGGAAAGGATTGATCGCTGGAGTTGAGTATCCATTATTAGCCGATCATATGTCGGAATTTATGGCCAACACTCTGTTTTACACATCTCTTCTTTATCTCACAACCACACAACACAAAAGTGCAGGTGACCCATTACTCCTGTTTATAAGAAGCATTATAATTCTCATTATGTTGTGCATAAATATATGAAAATAACTCATGTGTTTTCCACTTGCAGTGGCTGAATTTTGTGCAAATGTGGAGATATGTAGGCTGACAGAGCAAGTGGTGTTTTCAGATCCTTACAAGATTTCAGAATTTAATCGTTGGACATCACCTTTTCTTGATACTGATGCTGAAGCTATTCGGAATGATAAAATTTTGAAGCTTGAGGTTTCTGAGCTAAAGTCTAAGTATATACAGACGCAAATACCTATGTTTCTTTTACGTTTTCTTTTTGATGTTTTTGTTAGATTTCTGCACGCAAATTGATGCCTATATATATTGCGCAGGTTTTGTGAAAAAACACAAGCTTTAATACATGGTGATCTTCATACTAGTTCTCTCATGGTTACTAAAGATTCAACTCAAGTCATCGATCCAGAATTTGCTTTCTATGGGCCAATGGGCTTTGACATTGGCGCTTTTATTGGAAACTTGTTTTTGGCTTATTTTGCACAAGATGGACACGCAGATTATGATAATGACCGAAAAGTATGTTATATTATTTGACTTTTAATTGCTTCATATGAGAATTTGGATTTTTTTATAAAATTATTGTGAACGCAGGCATATAAAGCATGGATACTGGATACGATAGCAAACACTTGGAATCTTTTTTATAAAAAGTTTACGTCTCTTTGGGATATACACAAAGAGGGCCCTGGTGAGGCATACATTCATGAAATTTATAATGATTTGGAGCTTCGGGAGCTTTTGAAACAGAAATACATGATGGAATTGTTCCATGATTCTCTTGGATTTGCTGCTGCCAAAATGATAAGGTAATGTAATAATGTTTGAGTTGTTTGACTGTTTGTGAAATGTCTAAATTACCCTTTGATTTGCAGGCGAATTGTTGGGGTGGCTCATGTGGAGGATTTTGAGTCGATTAGTGATCTTGTGAAAAGATCAGATTGTGAACGAAGGGCTCTTGAATTTGCCAAAAATCTTATGAAGAAACGAAGAAATTTCAACACCATTATTGATGTTATTTCTGTGGCTTAGTAACTTACGCCTTGTAGATGACATACAAATATTAATGTTCAAAATAAAGTTCGTCATAAAATTTAATAATTATAAATGATATGCAGCCTTGTACTCACTCCACAACTGATCAACAGACTTCCCAACCAAGTCAACAAAATAGTCAACACTATAACCATACCTCATCTTCTTATTAAGTTCATCCACAAACCCATTTCTAAGACCTTCACAATAATCAAGAAACCTAGCTGTAACATCATAGCCATAGTCCCACGTGTCACCTTCCCCTGGTTGAACCCAATGGCTAGGTATGTAGCCAGCCTTCAGCCTCACAAAATCAGCAATCCCTTCAATCAATCCTCCAGGGGTCGAACCATTTCCAGACCATTGCCACACATGGGTCATCTCATGATACATCACACCATTGAATTCTCTCTTAACATCATCATTATCAGCTTTGTAATTTGCAATATACCTTGCGCTGACGTGGATCTCGTTGTTTTCACAGTAGGCGACACCGTCCATGTCATCGATGAGTAAGTGTACGTGTGTCACGTTTGCTCTTTCTTCTTTGATTTTTTGTTGGAAGAGCCTCCATATGAACTGGGTTGAGGACTTTAAGATGTGTTTACTGTGTTTGAAACCGATTTGGGTCTCGTATCTGATCCCACCTGGGGTTTGTGTAGCTGTGTTTGTGATGTTGTATTTCACTGTTGCATGGGTTCTTGGGAGGACTGAATGAATTAAGATGAATGATATGAATAGTATGATGTTTTTAGACATTTTTAGAGGTATCGCTATTGAATCATGTTGTGCTTGTTTATATATTTGGTAGCTCATGCTAGTCACATTCGTAAAGTTATATAATTAAGGAATTTTTTTTGTTATAAACTACCCCAATATTTTTGTATATGTATGTTTGTGTGTATCTATATAGTTCCATGTGGAACAAGCCAAATTAAGGTGAAGCTTGGATACTTAATCAAGAATGGTCGATCTTTCTTAAATCAGCCGGCCAGCCGACTATCTTAATCCCATTAAATTATGCATGAACTATAGAACATGTATACAAATGGATATTCCAAATGTTATATATTACAAAAGAAATGGTGTTATTGTATTCTTTTATAGTACCCTTTCATTACAACAAATGATTGGGTCGGAGTAAAATAGTGTAAAAAATAATGTAAAATTGGGATTTGTTATTAGGTTGGAGATGTCTTTTGTAATAAATGGTATATAACTCTTTAAATATTAGTAACGTTTATTGTCCCATCATACTAGACTAGATGAGATTGTCGGCATCTCTTGTCTTTAAAGGTTTCACTTCTCTAACCAGTATATCCCGTTGAAAGAAGTCAACTGCAAGACAAAATCCACAGTCAAAAGTGAAAGACTAATGTACTTAGTGTATTTTCTCAATCAAGAAATGACATTCTCTCATGCTCTTTCTTCCTAACAAGCGGAACAATCCCTAGTGGGTCCTAGTGGGTTGTAATTAACTAAAAAAAAGTAGAAGGCCAATATTGAATTGGGATTGTCTCTCTTTCAATCTTCATAAGTTACTTTATATCTCTTTCTAATCCAATATCTTTTTAAATAGATGTGTATGAGTGACATAAATAGGGGCGGACGCAGAAATTAGTAATAGGGGTTGCACAATTTTTTTTTCACGTCACACATAATATAAAACATTAAAAAAAAATTCCCGGTCTAACAACAATAATAGAAACACGTAATCGAGCTTTATATTTATGATCCTCTGCTTCGGTTTGCCTCCTCAAGACTACATTGATAGCTTGTTTTTCCCTCATTAAAAACTCACACTTTTCTTTTGCTTTGTTGTGAAAACTATCAATACCACCCGCATGAGTCCGAAATGCATCTTTTTTATTCCAAGTATTAAAACCTTGAGAAACAAATGCATCTCCCTCTCATTTTTGTTCCATGAGGTCCCCACACAAATAACAATATAAACAATATGCACTATCATTTTTCACACTATATTCCAACCAATCAAAGTCATCAAACCATGAAGGAACGAATCTTCTAAATCTATCACCTATTTTTTTTAGGAAACTTATGTGCCCTTACTTGACACGGTCCTTGAAGCAAATATGCTCTTCTTACATCATCTCTTATATTTGGTTTGTAACTTGTAATCAATGGCCTATCCGCCGGGTCTTTTGGAAGATCCTTTAAGTCAACATTATCATTAGGTTGGTTAGAGCATTGTGTTTATGGAGTTGCATTAGAAACCGGAGGGATTGATTGATTGGTGATTGGTGTTTGTGGAGTTGCATTACGATTAGAAACGGAAGGCATTGATTGATTGGTGATTGGTATTTGGGAACATTCTTCACCACTTTCATTAGGATTAGGTCTTTGTCTTTTGGTAAAAAAACCACTTAGTTTAACCTATAAAAACATAACGATGACTTCAATAAAACAACTTGCTTTCACCTAATCAAACAATAAATTCAATAAAAACATAACAATTACACCTAATCAAACAATGACTTCAATAAAACAAGTTGGTTTCACCTAATCAAACAATAAATTAAATAAAACATATCAATTTCACCTAATCAAACAATCGATTCAATAAAACAAGTTGCTTTCACCTAATCAAACAATAAATTCAATAAAACATATCAATTTCACCTAATCAAACAATCAATTCAATAAAAAACATAGCAATATAACCTAAGCAAACAATATAACTTCAACAAAACAAATCAATTTCACCCAAGTCAATCACTAACTTCAAAAACACATCAATTTCAAATATCTTAATGAATTGGTAATCGGTAAAACTTACTTGCTTCATTATGAAATCGATCAAGACATCAAGTATTGTGAATTGTGATTGATCCTTTTATGAAATCGATCAAGCCTTAGCCCTCAAGGTCGATTGATCGATTGAATTTTGGAGGCAAAAGTCGATAGTCGTGCCTACTGCCTCGTGCGTCGCCCCTGCCCCTGTGTAATCTTCGATCGTGTTTTTTTTTTTTTTCTTTCAACCGATGGATTAATTACAACCAATTAGGATTATTGGGCTATCTTTTTTCCAAGCAATTAGCCCAATTGCTAATTTATCAAATTAAGTTTCATTTGGGTTTTAGGGCTTTAGACAATTGGACTAACTACAATTGAATAAAACATTTGGTTCGTTATTATTTTTTTTCGTTCGGTAATTCCCGAAAGAGTGACAATATTTTTTTTATGTAGTTGCACAATTTTTTTAGTAATTGCACGATTTTTTTTACGTAGTGGCACAATAGGTAAAAATTAAAAAAAAAAAAAAATTCTACTTCGTACTCGGAAGCTAGGTGTTGCCGGTGCCACACCGGGCACCTAGCTAGGACCGCCCATGGATATGAAGTCACTTGTTTGACTTTTGATTAAGGCCGAAGTTACTTTATATCTCTTTCTAATGCAATATCTTTGATTAGATCTGTGCGAATGATATGAAGAAGTTACTTGTTTGACTTTTGATTAAAGCCTAAACCAATACATACTAGTATTCAAACATTTCGAAATTCTAGCCTTAAATAAATAGTTTATAACCTATTTTTCTAAAAATGTTACTTAGAGTAGCTTTTCATGACTCTTTTTTTTTTCAATATATCCTTAATTAATTATAAAAAACCATAGATAACTTATCAACTAGTTTAGCAAATATTATTTTTCTTATTAACTAGCTTATAAACTAGCAACTAATTTTTCATATAATAACTATCTTTTCAACTAACTAGTTTTGAGCCACTACTATCCGAACATAATCAACGCAGCATTCCCAACTAAAGATTAGGATCCTAGACCAATGTACAACACTTGATGCAAATAGTACAATTTATTATAAGAATATTGTACTCTGAAAATGTTTTCCACAGGGAACTACTATTCTATTTAAAATCAACTCTATATTTGAAAAATGTTTTCCATAAGGAACTATTGAACTATTGTTCTCTTTAAAAGCAACTCCACGAAAAAAAAGTCACTATACCCACTTCACATCTTTTTATTTAGTTCAACCACTTCACCATCTTCACCCATTTTTTAAACCATAGAAATGGTCAAGAAACCAGGTACTACATGGATAAACCCCTATGCTGATGACACTTTTTACAGAGTTGTCGGCATAGCCTTGTAGTTATAGGTGAAAAATATCGTTGGGATAGGTGCCCCTATATCGACGGCATGTCATCAGCATAGGTTCCGTCGAGAATTATTTTGGAAAATAATAAAGTTTTATTAATTATTTTTACCAACAACAAGTCGTCAGGATATGACAAATTTATACCGACAACATGTCGTTATGATAGATTAAGGGTGGAATTGGTACGATACCAATTTTTTTTTCTTCAAACCGCGTACCGTACCAACTATAGTTGGTACCATTTTATTTAGCTACCAAAAAATTTGGTTGGTACATATTGGTACTGGTATATACCAAATACTTTAACTAATTTTTACATTTGAAGAGTTTCACACATGATTAACTATATTAGGCTTCACATTGTAATCATCATCCAACCCAACGGTTAGAAAAATTTACATAATCAAAAACAAATTAAACAAAAAAAATTATCATTGATGTTTAGTACCTTTTATATGCATATAAAATAAAATAACTATCATGCACAATACAAAGAAAATGTATTCAACTATGACGTTGTTATATAGTAACTATATCATTGTCTCACCGTCTTAATTGTAAACATTATATATAAAGACTTAACAAAAAAATATATACCAGTTTAAGAAGTGATTAGTTAATTGTTTTTGATTTTCTTGTTTTGAGTAATACACAAGTAATCGAGTAATGTATACGCAATGCTAGATTTGCTACTCTTAATTGAAACATAAAAATGTGATAATTAATATTTCTTCATATGTATTAATTGATATATATATATATATATATATATATATATATATATATATATATATATATATATATATATATATATATGAATTGGTTGGTACGGTACAACTGTGGTATTCAAAATTTTATACCGTTACTGTACCAAGTTTACTTAATTGGTACGGTAATATCGACCAAACGTATTGGCTAGCGAACATGTTGGCTACCAAGTTTACTTAATAGATACCCCGTATACCGATGTCAAGTTGTCAACAAAAGTTTGTGACAATTTTTTCAGAGTGATATAGTGACGATATGTCATCGCTACAAGCAGTGTTCTTTTATTATTATTATTATTATTATTATTATTATTTTAGATTCTATAAATTTACCATTCGTATTTTTTTTAACAAATTCATAAATTTTGCAGCATATATCCATAATATACAAACATTCAATAATATTACCAACATGAATTGTCAAATTCAAGTATAATAATACATACCAAAATGATCCACAGTAAACTAGCATTGTTCAAAATAACACAAAAAATCAATCATCATCATTATAATATTCTTCTTATTACGTCACCTTAGTCTCATCGGTTTGTTGAGAGGTATTTTCTTGTGTGTGAGGATTAAATAGAAAGTTAGGCATCGGTGGTGGTTGGAAGTTTGGAATACCGGCCACCAACGTGTCATCATATTTTTACATTTGTTGCATTTGTTGGGTTAATGTATTAAATTGAGAATCCCTCGTATTTTGGGATTGAGATTGGTTTGTTGGGTTAATGTATTAAATTGAGAATCCCTCGTATTTTGGGATTGAGATTGGGAAGATTTGGAAGGTCGTTGATTTGGAATTAGACCTATATTGGTGGTTAGTTTCCTTCCCACTCTGTGAGTGTGTCAACGTCTCGTCTCAAGGGCACGACTAAGCCATTCTTTCTCATTCACAATTCCACCCTCCCCGACCTCTGTTTGCATTTTCTCATACTCTTGTTAAATCTTCTCCCAAAATAAAGAAAACAATAAATCCGTCATTACATCATACCCTTGGTCCCATCGGTGACCTTCCCCTAGGCAACCCAATGGTTAGGTGTTGTTGTGATATGTTGGAGAGTGTTGAATTGAAGTTGAGGATGAGAATACTGCTTCCTTCTCTTGATATCATAGTACAAAAGGAAAGAAGATTGTTAGCCGACGCTTGGTGGGGATTCCCAGACGAAGCTCCGACAATCAAGTTAGAATTGATTTGATAGAAGTAAGTGTAAATCTGAAGGATGAAGTTTTTGTCCCGTCTTCATAAGGAAGAAGGGTCCTTTTATACCTGATTATGAGGTGTGTGCCTCATAACTGATTTTGTTGTGTATTCCATCATGAGGCGTGACATGGCAGATCCGTATTGAAGGATCACCTGTCACATCTTTTTACCTCGTCCCCTCATTGGCTAGAGGGGAATATTTTATATTATGATCATCGTGGCTGTCGTCATATAGACAAGTGGAACTCTTTGATTGGTCCCACATTTGTCGGGGTGTTATTTTTAGGAGTAGAGGGCAAGACGTAGTTCTGCCCCTTAACCATCATACCAGTGACTCGGCAATGTCAAAGTCCCCACCTTGGTCTCAGACTGGGCATGATTAGGTTCTACCCAAGCCAAGATCGGCGTTAGTTTGATTTCTCCTTTTTGACATTCTCCCTGAGGGATACATTAAAAAGTCCCTTAGGCTTGTAGGCATACACGCTGGCTTGGCAGCGTTGTCGTTCAAGCCTATACTTCAACATGTGTATGTCTAAGATTATCTCCAACATTTGACAGACTTTAGGTAGTGCCGTCAATGTGTGTCAGATCCATCGAAAGACGGTTCGTGACACCATTTTTGCCTTTAAAATTCCCACTTTTCCCAAGAGCTTTCATCTTTACCTTCCTTTCCTTGCTTCTGTTTTATCGACTCAAGAATTTTACGAATTTTTCCTCTCTACCATTCATCAATTCCTAAAGATGGACCTTTATGGTAGAGTCCCTACCGCAGAGGAATTCCAACTTCTGCAAGATCGTTTCAGTTTCTTATCGGAGCACGATGTGACGATTCCGGCAAATGGGTCATCAATCTATGGTTGTTCTCAAGGAAAAGTGAGGGTTCCGATTCCTATATTCGAAGCGGGAATGCACCTGCCGACATCTGACTTTTATGATCGTGCATCCCTACAACTTTTCCGTTGATGAGTTAACCCCGAGTACCGTCAATAAGATCGTAGGTTTTGAAATGATTTGTCAATCTCTGGGTTGTATAACCACTTTTTGGGTTTTCAGTTGCTTTTTCAGTTCAACTACGAACACTGGCGTTCATACTCTAGCGAAAAGGTGGGGCATTCGTTAGTTGATCTCTGAACAATATATTCCAAAGAAAAATTGGTATAGGTGATGGCTTAGGTTAACCAAAACCTTGTGGGCCATGGGTTTCGCAAAACACAAGACTTTCCTGACCATCTTCCTAAGTTGTTCGAGAGTAACCTAACTCTTGACAAACGGCTAGGAAACATCACTGTCATTGGAGAGAACTGGGAAGATTTCATTCTTGTTGCGGCCGGTATGAGTGTCGCCTGGAGGGATCGTGGGAAGATGGAGCAGTTATTCGTCGTGAGATGCGATATTCACTAATCTCCTTCTCCACCCCCCCCTTTTTTTTGTAAAGAAAAAAAAAGAGTTAGAGCAGGGTATCTTATTGGCTTGTAACTTGTGAGCTATTATACTTGGCGTTTGTTTTCACAGGTGTCGAAGCTGAGATTTGCTTGGAGATGGCCCTTCGTGGTCACTATTGAGGGAAACTATGCCACTGGGAGGTTGATCTTGTGGAAGTTCTTCCCCCTCCCGTGTCTGAAAAACGCATATGAGAGCTCACTAGATTGCTTTCAGCAGAAGAGGGAAATACTGGTTCTGGCAGACCTTCCTCTCCTTCCCAGCCGACTGTTGGGGTCATTTCCCCTGTTCGTCTTTCAGCTTCCACTTATTCTGATTCACCTGCAGGGGAACTAGCAGTAAAAGGTAATGCCCCTATTCGGAAAAGACGAAAATTGAGTGTGGTGTCGTCGTCGCACAAGGAGACTGAATCCGATGATGCGGGCCTTCGTCCTCGTAAGATGCGTAAGACTATGTCCATGGCTAAGCTTCTTGTTGGTAGCCGGGACTTTTTTGGTGAAAAGTTTTATGTGCCTAGGCAGGAAGACATGGTGGTGGTACCTAGTTCTTCAATAACACCATTGTCGCTGTTTACTGACACACTCTCAGTTGATCCTGGTTCCAGCTCCATGTTTAGGAGTGCACTAGGCTCACCTAGAGGTTTTTCCCAGCTGGAAAAGCCTTCCAGGGTTGACGAAATAGGGAACTATGTCTCCCCCCTTGTCTTTTGAGGCCTATACTCCGTGTTGGGTGATTACTAGGGATTCCGTACTGTCGGAAGACGTCACCGTCCATGAGTGGAGTACTTGCGCTTATCTCCCAGCCACAATGAAGTTGCTTACAGGGCAATAGGGTACTCGTATGGCTGGTGACCTTCGATATGCCGCGAATCAGGCTTCTTCCCTTATGTTTTTTGCCGCTGACCAGGTTTGTCGCTCTAGCACAAATGAAGCACATTTAAAAACTTTGAAAGATTTCATTACAAACATAAGGGAGGAACTCCGTGATTCAGAAGCTAAGCGTCAAGTACTGTTCGAGCAAAATTGTATTGTGGCCTGCGAGAAGGATGTTTCAGAAGATCATGTGGCCACTTTGGAGGGCCAAACAAGGCGATTCAAAAGTCAAGTGAGTTCTCTTACTTAGGAGAAGTGTGTGCTAGCGAGTGAGTTGGCTAAGTGCCAACGACAAGTAGCTCATGCCCGGGTTGATGGTGCTGTTGCCCGAGGTAGTTTGTGATGGATGTTGGAAAATGGGGTAGTTCGCGTAATTGATAAAGCTATTGAGAGCGCGAAATTTGCTAGTGGGATCCAGGGTTTTCGCAAGGCGTGTGAGGCCCTTGGGTTTGAAAAGGGGAAACAACTAGGTGGTTGTTCCACACTTTCTGGCGAATCTGAATCCCCGGATCCTGTTCGTGTCACAAGAATAACCAAAGAGGCGGATATTGCTCTTTCTTCCCTTGGTGAGATGAATTTCACAGGCCTCTTTCGCCAGGGGGGGCTAGATTATGACAGCTTCCGCCAGTTTTGTTGCAGGCCGGGCCCGAGAGGCTCTTACTCAGACTCCAAGGACTAATTTGTATTTGTCCCTTTTATTCACTATGTATGTAGTTGCATTCCAATGGATTATATGTATAGTGATACTAGCTGTTAATAACCAAGAACTGTGTATTTTGCTTTGTATTTGGCATGGAAATGTTCTCTCCTTATATATATATATATATATATATATATATATATATATATATATATATATATATATATATATATATATATATATATTTGAGTTGACTTGTGGTATCTTTAAGCTAGGCCTATTCGACATTTCTACGATGATTCTTTTCTACACACTCCCTTGTTCTAGGGTTCACGTTAATATGTTAATGTGTGCTTCAGACGTCGTATAACCGCCACTATTAACTTATATTCTACTGATTTGTTTGTTTTAATCATGCTTTTTATGTTAAGTTAGGAAATGTTGGTCAATGTTCTTGACTATACTTTGAGGTTTAGCTACCTCTATGTTGGTCGAGATCGTCACCTTAAGACCTTTTACTGTCCAATTTTCAGGGGAAAGGTTATGAATATTTTTGAAACCCTTTTTATGTGCCATTAATTAGGATTTATGCATTCTCGGTTTTGAGATGTTATTGGCGCATGGTAAGTAAGGATTATGACTCTTTAAGACCTACGATTGCATGCTTACATAGATTTTTCTCAAGTAGCATAGGTGATCGGTCGTTGTTGCTACTTGGAAAATATGCACAACCCTTTTACTTTGCATTTTTGCAATTGGTTAAATAGAATTCTAGAAAGTTCTTTCAAAATAAAAATCATATTAATTCTTAGAAAAGAAAAGCATGAAACAATAGACTCTAAATGTCTAAGTATTAGGGCACATGCCTGATCTTCGCATCGGCACTTGGAGTATGGTTATCCTATGCGAATTTTGACCATACTCCTTTTTCTCAGCCTATTCTTTATTTTTGATTGAGTGTTCTGCTATGACTACCTCGTCGTGGTTGTACATATTTCCTCATTTGCTGCAAGTGTTTCTTGATAGGTTGGGGTTTCCTTTTGTTTCCATCACCGGAACCCAACGTGAGAAAGCTGAATTTCGCCTTTCATGCTCTGCAGGCGCTTGCACTTTCCCTTCCTCTTGACCCAATGCATGTTGCGACCGTGGGAAGAACCTCCCCTTGGTCGATTGAGAATACCACCCATGCTTTTCTGTGCACCTATCGATCTTTCATTTCACACTGTCACTTGGGGTGTCGTTTAGCTTGTCAGAGGCCCTCGTTGGTTCTTTTCTATAAGAAAGACTATGTGTTAGATTGAGTGGAACTCCTCCTCTATCTTTGTTATTCTTGGTGCTTAGCTCCTTCATTCCAAGGGGTTTTGGTTCATACTCGACATTGGTCATGATCTGCTTCGAGTCCCAAATCACTCTTTGGTTAGGAATGGTTGTCCATCGTTTGTGGACCAGACTGGTGGCCTTGCCTGCGTGTAGCCATTTCCATGCCTTGTGATCTTCGCTCCGTACACTGGATGAGCCATCTCTCGGCCATCGCTTGTTTCTTTCTGTAGAAGAGATGATGTGATCCATCTGAATATATCCCTTTGCCTTTTCCTAGACTCGTGGACCGATATTTGTGTTGTTGTAGACCTCCGTTGTGAATTTTCTATCTTTTGGAAACTTTTGCTTCGACATGATTGAGTTTCTTGATTTTTTTTCTCATTGGGTACTGCGCCCATTATCTGGTCTGGTTGCTACTACCATTGTCGATCCATTACTCATGTTGAATTTGAGGAAACCGCGGAGAGTAAAAGTAACCACCTGCTGTTGAAAAAGTAATGGCCGGCCTAGTAGAATATTGTGTTCATCCAGACGGCCAACAACGAGAATTCAAGTACCCTTGTTATTTGTTATGCCCCATCATGGTTGGCCAATGTAAATGGGAGCGTAGTCGTTCCTACTGGCCAGATGTTGTGACCAGTGAACCCAACTAGTGGGCCTCGATGTGGTGGCTGTAGGTGTTTTTTCCATTCAATTGGTAATTTCTGGGCTTGTCATTAATAGCTATGTAAATGTCTAGGTTAACCTTTGTAAACCGTTTTGAAATAATAGAAGTGTATTATTTGAGTATTATGTGTCTTAATTGAATTAAGAATAAACATAAAGGGTAAAAATAAAATATTAGATAAAGCCGATATCTATGGATAATGTTGTGGTGGTTGAAACAAGGATTCTGGAGATATAAAGAATGTCGAAATCCGAGTTATAATGAAGAAGTTATGACTTATCGAAGTTTCGCGACAGAACCGGCAACGCTGAATAACGTAAAAAGTGAAATTTACGTTAGAGCGGTTTTTAGCCGACACAATCTAAACGAGAATCAAATATCTCATCAATGGTAGTGCAACGGTAAAAAGACAGACGAAAACGGACGCCAGATGAAGAAGTTATGAATTTATAATGGAGTTTTCATGTCCTGGCCTACTAAAAATAAATAAAGTTAAAATTAACCGACGAAGTCTAAACGAAAGTTGTAGAGCGTAGTCTCACCTACGCGTGGATATAAATAACATCAAAAATGGAGTTCTTATGTGGAAGATATGAATTTCTGAATTTTTTAATAATTAAAATTTATTTATTTAATCTTTAATTCAAATGTATATCCGAAGGAGTCATTGATCTTATCCGAAGTACGCCCAGCGTACCCCGGTGCATGAACCCCTCGGACTTGAGTGCCTCACATACGTAAGCGATGACGTTTTTTAGCACTACGCCCCGCATAGCTAAGCATTACGCCCAACGTAATGCGAGGCTTCAGCCTCTATAAATAGCATGCAAGGGCAGTCAGCCTTCTTGTTCATTTTCTCTACTCTCTGTCCCGTTTTACCTCGTTTTACATGAAAGAAATATCTCGAAGCCCCGGTATCATTCCCGAGCCTCGAAGCAAGTCCCGAAGCCCCGAAGATCTCGAGAAGTGCAATTCCCGAGCCGAAACTCTGCCCGCGAGAAGCTCGATTTTTGTGAAGATCTTCTAGATCTACCGAAGAATACTACTTCTACAAGTCGTAGTGTTGTCCGATCATCTTCTGATCAAGTGAGTGTGTAGTTACTTTCTTCTAACGCATAATTATGAAGTATTTTACACGAAATACATGTTATGTGTATATTTTGTTGTTATATGTGTGGATGTATATTGACTTTCTTCTATCTCATAGATATGATTTATTCTATATGAAATACGTGTTATATGTATGTGTCTCATCTGATGTTTGGAATATGTATTGAATGAGAATGCTATACAGGTTTTAAACTATGTATAAAAATATATATTTTTATCTACTAATATGTTGGGTAGAACATGCGTAGATAGTTGATGTGTGATAAATAGATTAGAGTCCTCAATGTTTTTGTTGACCTAGTCATCTAGCGGAGTATGGATGACGACCACAGATTCTTTCTAGACAGTCCAGTGGAACGCTAGCAAGTTCATAACTTGTAGGTGTTGTGAACGATGTGTTCACCGGTGTACTCTATCCCCCTCATGGTTTCCTTTAGGATATCTATTGTTGAGGAAACCCCTTAGTGGTAATGTCCATCCCGATAAAAATCCTAAATTAGATCTCTGGTAATAGATGTTGTCTTACGGATGTAAAGTGAGGATAACGGGAATGGGTAATTGGGTTATTGTTGGTTGGTGAAATTAAATATAGTTATTTATTGTAGGTTGAAAACCATATATGCTCACCAGGCTCCCAAGCCTGACCCACTCAGTCTTATTTGTATTACAGGAAGTGGCGCGAGGGCATAAGATGGATGAATCATCAAGTTGTTTTGTTTATTAGCCTGTATATGTATAGAATTGTTGTATGGCTTGTAATATGTCGTTTATGCTTTTTGGTCTGTATCGGAACATGACATCCCGAATATTGTTATATAAGGAAAACGCATCTCTTGATGAAATGCTTTGATAAACTTTATTTTATCATATTTTGTTTTGGGAACAAATTCCGCAACTCTTTTAAATCAATGGATTTACTCTGAATGTATTTTAAAATCATAAATGAAACCGGTCTTTTCTGGACGTGATTTTGGGGATGTCACATCATAGATCACGTTGACCCTGCTTTCGTTGTCATTGTACACATGCTCGGCACGGTTTTGACTAATGAAACTGATGATGTGTAATGGGTTGTTCGGATCCCAATGCTCTAGCCTGGGATCACTCATTGAAAAGGCTATATTGGGTATGTTTTGATGATATGCCTTCGCACCGACGTGCTGGCTCTAGCGATTGTTGTATGGGCGGGGCCCGGTGATGGTAAGAATCTATGCCCTCCTTTCATGGTCCTTTCCCCCATCCTTTTGGGTTCTAGTTTGGTGCTTATCCTCATCAAATTTTTCACTGAGCTCTTTTGCTATGTCAACTATGTTTCCAACTAGTTAAACGGGAGAAAAAAATATATGTTGATAAATGAATCCCAATTTGTTGACTATTAAGTATCAAATCTTGTTCTATAATCTGGTTTGCCTTTGAAGTCCAAATAATTTCGTACCACGACTTATCTGGAATAGTAGTAATTAGTGAAACAAAAAGACTTGTACATACCACCGAAGTTATTCCATCTCCAATGGTCCAAAGATGGAAATCTTTGTTTCTCAATGATCTCCCGCTTTAATATTGTGCATTCGTTGGTATCACGAGTTTTGCTCTTATGATATTCACATAACTTGGTTTTGTCCTTGCTCTCCTTTGTTGGTGTTTTGTTGATTGCATGGACGTCTGTATGACCATTCCTATTGTCATATTTGTTAAACGGTCTGTACCTTCTCGACATGTTCTTGGAGTGGCGATTGTGCTTCTGTTCGTTGCTGTCTTGCCTTTCCTGTTGGCCTCTTTGCGCTCTTCCCCTTCGATTTGTCTCTAATATTTTTCCACATGGAACTTAAGCTCATCCTTAGATATGGGGACTGTCCCTTGCATCTTTTTATCCAAGGGTCCAGGAAGCAAACCTTGGGCGAAGGCGCCCGTCACCAGAAAATCTTCATGCCCTGGGACATTC